TAGCGGCAATGGCAACCTTTTAAGCTTCTAAGCCTTAAACGGCTCCGGGGAGGTCGGCGCATGATGGATTTGGACTTGAAATCGTTCTTGGAGTTCGTGGTTGGGAGTTTCACGAGGTCTGTAGGGTTCAGAGCCTCTAGGGTTTAAGGTTGCCGTCAGGCGGGTTGGCTCGCCCTGGGGAACAGGGATCAGGTATGCCAGGCTGTGTACTCGTAGGGTCGAGGCGGGGGGGGGTCTATGGTTAGCTGCCATCGGTGGCTTCGACGTTTCCTCATTTTTCGGGTATAGAGTACTAGGCCAAATAAAAAGTAAACGTAGCAAATTGGGACCTCGGCAAAATGCACGAAGGGTCACGTCTTCGGCTTCTCAGGTTTCGGATTTGAGCCCTTTGGGGTTAAGAGTTGTGGGAGAGCTTCGGTTTTGGCGTTGGGGCCGTTTGGGGCTTTGGGCTTGAGACGTCAAGGCTTGCGAAGGTTTCGCAGGGGTTGGCATTTGTGGTTGCATAGAGTGCAGAGAAAATCCAGCCAACCACCTCAAACCCAACCTCAGAAGTCTGGGCTCAACCCCACGCCCAACCCGACACAAGGCTTAAGCAAGGGTTACTGGCGAGACCCCTTCATGAAGGAATATTCCTTAAACCAGATCAGGAATCCTCTCACATTTCAAGGAATATTCCTTCTATTGAAGGGGTATTGGAGCCCCTGGGCCTTGGCAACCAACGTGAGCTCCAGGTTGGGCCTCTCGGCGTGGCAGGCGCGCCGGTTGTAGAGATGAGTTTCCAGGGTTTAGGGTTCAGGGTTTAGGGTGTAAGGTTTGGGGTTTAGGATTTAGGGTTTAGGGTTTGGGGTTTAGGGTTTAGGGTTTGGGGTTTAGTATTTAGGGTTCAGGCTTCAGGGTTTAGGGTTTAGGGTTCAGGGGCCCTTGTTCCCAAACAAAACTCTCAAACACCTAAAGGCCCTAATCGCCACCAAGTCTATACACCCTGAGCAGCTGGACCATGAATTGATCCTTCCTAAGCCCTAAACCCTAAACCCTAAACCCTAAACCCTAAACCCTAAACCCGAATGGCAAACTTGAAGCTTTCTAAAAACTCCGAGTTTTACCGTTGATCTTCCAGAAGTTGACGCTGAAGCCCTCAGCGGTAAAACCCTGCCAGAAGGCACCTTCCGATCTTCCACGTGCGGTTGGGACCCGAAAATTTCTGAGGCCCCCTACCAGCAGTCGGAAGAAATACTAAAAAGTGTTCCCTTCTGGCCCCTTTATAGCTAGACCATAGTAACCCCCACCAAACCCTAATTTTAATTCTGAAGGCCCCTATGTTGCCCTGTGGGAACCTCATGACCCAAGCAAGGCGCGCTGCATTGCGCAGCGCGGCCTTGCGCGGTTGGATAGCATGGCTGTCCACGAAGATGCTACACTCCCCTGTGACCTAGCTAGGGTTTAGGGTTTAGGTTTAGGGTTCAGGGTTCAGGGTTCAGGGTTTAGGGTTTAGGGTTTAGGGTTTAGGGTTTAGGGTGGGAGGGTGGAGCTGCTCGACGAGCTGGAGAAGTCGGGCTGCCAGTGGTGTCTGACACTCCCACGCGACGCTTTTCTGTCAACGAAAGGTCCCACAAAACACTTTCCGAGGTCTTCCAAAACCCCTCAATCAAGGAACAGACCCTAATTAATTTCTACTCAGGATCCTGATTATGAATTAGGGTATATGATTTAGTTAAGGGGTTTTGGAAGATCTGGGAATTTGTGTCAAAGAAAGGCGAGTAAGTGTTTTGCTGGCAGGGAGGAGCCCTGAGCCGCCAAGAGTGCTTGTCAGTAGGGTTTAGGGTTTAGGGTTTAGGGTTTAGGGTTTAGGGTTTAGGGTTTAGGGTTTAGGGTTTAGGGTACGGGGGGACAACCAAGGAAGGAAATCAACTCCCCTAATCGCCCTGAACCTATATTCCCCAGATCGAACCAAGAAACAAACAAGAACACGGATAAGAGCAACCCAGCGGGGAAGGAAAGGGGGAAGGAATCCACACCCTTACCAAACCCTAAAAACCCAGGCACTACTTTTTGAACTTGTGGCTTTCTGTTCAAGCCCATCTTGAGCCAAACATGATTTCCGGGTTCATTAACCCTTCCAACTCTCAACACTAACTCTTTTCTACAATACCAGTTGCAGCTCCGCACTCCCCCTGTCCTAGGATTTCCTAGGACACATTGGAGGTGCAGATCTTTGGCCAAAAACTGCCATTAGGGCAGCAGCCAGCTGCTTGAAATGCACAATATGGTTTTACGTCTACCAGGACGAAATTATAGCACATTGGCTAAATCCACTAACCATAGAGAATCTTTTTTCCACCTTGATCCTCTTATCATTGAAGACTCTTCGGCCTTCTTCACCACAAACCGTGGTCTTCGCTACGTGAAAAACTACTAACTTCTACTATCAGGGATTTCCATACCCTTAATAGTAACCACCACATTTTCAGCACATTGGCCGATCCAGCGCACCTGTCTCCAGAAAGAGAAAAACCGTCCCTTCATCCATACCATCCAGTCACTTCTTTTTCCGATGGTTTGCAATACTGAGGTGAAGTTGCAGCAGAATATACTCCAGGTCCGAAACTGCAAGAACAGGATCCTGCACGCACCTTTGAATTGAGGATACCAATCCTTCTCTCTTTGCGTCCTCAATCGCTTGGCAAGATTGACCCAGCTCTGCACTCACAGCGGTAGACGCTTGCGCATCCACATCAGAGGGACGATCCTTTTCCTCAGGACCTTTCACCACCACCACTTCTTCCTTTTTGGGGCTCTGACTTTTCTCCTTCTTCTTCGCCTTTCCACCGACGTTTGACTTTGTGCGCATTTTCGAGGCTTTTTCCCCTGCAGAAACCACCGCATTGGATGATGATCCACCCTTCTCAATGGTCGCCGGCATCTTCTTCGGCTTTGGAACCAGGAGAGTGTAAGGATCTTCGATAACTGCAGTTTTCCTCTTCTTTTTAACCTTTTTTACCTCCTCCTCAACGGCAACCTCCGTCTCAGAAGTCTCAACCACCTCCTTTTCGGCAGGAATATCCTTGCTGGACTCCCTTTCTAGGGACCTCTTCTTGCCCCTTTTGGGATCTTTTTCTTCTTCCACGTTGGCTCGCTCGAACCATATCCTCAGGTCATTGACCCATTCTTCCACCTCCGCGAGCGAAACCTCATACGACTTCACTACTTCGTGAAGTTCCAGCACGGACAGCATACCGGTGGTCCACGAAACCCATTCTCTATCCATCTGGTCAGTATCTCCATTGAACTTCAGGAGTTTGAACAGTGGGTCCGCCTCTGCTCGAGCCAAATCTGTTTTGCCATTGGACAGAAATGAAATCGCCTCCATCAACAGTTCCGCCCTTTTGGTATCATCGTCATAAGTCATGGAATACTCCTCACCATCATCGAACTGTTCAGGAGAGATCTCCTTTTCCCCACCTTTTGCACCAGAACTTCTCCTTGGACCATCCCTTGGGGGCGTCCTTGGAGACCTTGGCCTCTGTTCATTCAGCGGATCACCATGCTCAAAAACACACCTGTCACCACCCTGAGTCTCCAGAATACGTGAATTCAGGTTTCGGTTGGATTTACGTAAATGGAGTTTTTTAGTTACGAAAAACCTAAATTTCCGACTAAACGTAAATTTTCTCCGAACACCAAAACTTCATAAAAAACGCGTCAAAACTTCATAAAAAACGCGTCAAAACTTCATACAAAATGCTTAATGAATTTTGTGCCAAAAAACTGAAATACTTTCGAAAACATGAAACTTCATGACAAAATGCTTACCTGCGAGGATTTTTTCCAACCTTAAACCACTTTTTCTCAGGGCTGTTCCAAACGAGAAAGAGCCGAACTTGCTTGCGATGAAAGTGTATCGTTTTACATGTGAGACTCTGTGGGTATTGTTTTCTGCGAGGCTTGTTGTGCATGTGAGAGGTTCAGTTTTTCTTGCGGTGTATATCGGCCCCAGCCTGCCATTGCTACAGCTTCACTTGTCTCGCCAGAGCCACACCATGGAAAGCGGTCGGCGAGATCGCAGTCGTTCACCCAGGCAGATGAATCTTGGAGCTGACATGGAAAAAATTTTCGTGAGTCATAGATCTATGAATACACAATAGAGCGGTTTACTTGTGTGCAGTCTAGACGTGTGTAACAGAAAGGAAGTGGGTGTGGTGCTGGAAAAAGTGGGAGGATCCGCTGACTGGCTTGGTCATCTGGCAACTTAGCTTGAAAAAGATAAAAAGAGATGTATAATATACATATATATATATGTTCTTTTTTACATGAGAGCTGGATGACAACAAAGGTACTGGGTTTGGTTCAAGCGGGTGCCCGACGAGCAGTGATGCACAGCTGTGCGGCTTTTTTGTGCATGTTTTGCCCACCACGGGCATCAAAATAAGAGATCTGTCAGTCGCCCCTGTGCTCTATGTACAAAAGCACAGCCTTTATACTGGCAGCACTTGGCAAGCTTCGTCCGCCGTCGTGAGTAAAAAGTGGGAACATGCCTAAACCCTAAGCCATAAACCCTAAACCCTATAAACCTTAAACCCTAAACCCTAAACCCTAAACCCTATATTACTTGCGAGACAGAACTACTTGCGAGACAGAATTACTTGCGAGACAGAAACTACGGACTCATTTGTTTGTGTGTTTACTTGTGATAACATTCGTTTACTTGCGAGACAACACTCAGGATATAACTACGGACTATAATTTGCTTGTGAGTTTCCTGTGAGACAATATAATCGCTTTCCCCAGGTCCAAAACAAGGCATGATCACATCGAAGTACTTTTTTGTCTCTCTGACACTTTATATGTAAATATGAGAGGCACAGAACTCGCAAAGTAAAACGTCTCTCATCAACCGGCTAGCTCTTTCTCCGTTTTGGGGCATGGGCCGGCTCTCTCTCACATAGAAACCTCACATGTAAACAACAGGAACAATTTTTTTTGGCCCTCGCACAGACAAGAGTTCACCCGACCTTGCCCCTCAGCCACAGAAGGTGCCGCTCCTTGAGGGCAGCCTTCCTGGCGACCTGCCAATGCTTGACACCAGGCAGGCAACTCTTCCAAAGGGTCTGAACCCGATGCATGGTGGACTCGCCCTTGAAGCACCAGACCATTGCTGGATGAATGCAGCCACTGAGCGACAGGCTGTGCAAAGCAAAGTGTGTCTTGCTTGTGAGGTTAAATAAGTGCCTCCCTGCAGCTTTGTAGTGCTGCTGCAAGCTGATGTGGAGCTGTGCCATCTGCAGGCCGCAGAGCAGAGCCTGCCGTGCTTCCTGCTCAGGCAAAGCCAGGTACCCATGCCTTGGCGAAAACGTGTCTAACTTCTCAGACAAACGACAATTCAAACGGAGAAAGAGCAGAATCTGCTTGTGCTGGTAGTTCTCTTCGTCCATCTCCTGCTGAAAAAATGCTAGAAGGGCAGTGTCCAAGCTTTGCACATCCGATGCCCTGCCACGAATCTTTGGGAAACCTTTCTTGGGCTGTATCATCGTAAGTTTGAGGAGCTTTTGCTTGAACTTGTATCTGGTGCCATGTTCTCGCTGGTAATTCTTGATGAAGGAATCGATATGCTTCAGCCTTTCAGCCTCTGTGCCTTCCAAGCAATCCGAGAAAACGAGAGAGAGCACGGAGCCATATGCATACTGCAACCACCCAAGAAACATGCAATGCATATAGTCCATAGAAAGACACAGCCCATTGAAGCCCGGCAATTGGAATAAGGCACAAGCCGAATCCCAGTGTGTCTTCCAGTTGCTGGGCTTGAGGCCGGCGCTTTGCCACGGTGAGCTCTCTCTGTTGTCCATCCAGCTTAAGGGCCCTTTGAAACTTGCTCGGCAGAGGCAACAGGGTTTCTCATGGTTGTTCCACTTCGGCACTTGCAGCCATTTGGCATAGTAGTCGAGGTCGCCTGCCAACTGAACCAAGGCTCCAAAGTAACCGCCACAAAGCAAAGTCCCTGCTTTTGCTGCTTCTGCACTGCCCGGGGCATACCTGTTTGTATACAGGAAAAGTGAAAAATGAAACTGCTTATATATATATATACATATATGTGTGTATAGCTTTTACATGCGGAAACCCAAACACAAAACCCTTCACAAAGAAAAACAAAACCTACATATGACAAGCAAGTCGAGTTTCGGAGTGCCCTCCCAATCTTTCGTAGGCCACACCCCCTCATATATGATCCCAAAAGACCATGCGAGTATCTTCCAGAACGTGGCCATTGTGCCAGGAGCATCCTCGTCGTCACCAACAATGAATTTTTCGAAGCACCCCCATATGTACAGGTTGGTGTCCTGCACAGAGCGTCCTGCAAAAGTGGCCATGAGGGAATTCCAGGAAAATGCCAGTGCCGAGCGGCACCATATCTTCCCCACCCCCAGCACAGGAACCTCGTCGCCGTGCATGGCCAATGGAATGCACCGGTTCCTGTACTGGGGGTGGGAAAGCAGAGGGTGGCCCTCCATGCAGGGATGCTTCCGGAAACAATCCCAGAAGGCAGCCAACCGGCTCGGGTCCGGCAGCACGGAGGTAACCCACCCTGTGCCATTGGAAAACATATGGGCCATCATTTCGTGGGGCAGCAGAAGCAATGACGTGGGCTGGCCTGGCACCTGTCCCGCAAGAGGGATGTCGAACTCTTTGGGTGTGGGAAGGTCGGCTTGTTTGGCCAGCAGGCCGTCGATCGACTTTTGCAGGTTCTTACCATGCTTGATCTTGGCCAGCTTCTCCAAATCAGGAAACACGGTACCTTCGCGAGAGAGGCCCATATCGGCAACAGCTGCTGTTGCAATTGCATGACACACTGCAGCCGACATAAGGCCCTGTGCGAGGTATGTCATCAGCAGATCATGCAGAGCACTGATGCTTGTCTTTGAAGCCTCAGCCTGGCTCTGTCGTTGTTGAATGCCACCTTTTCGTCGTTTTCTCGCGGGGCCGGCATCATCCATGTTATCGTACAAGAAGATGTTGCAAAATGATCTCGAAAGGAAAAGATCTCGAAAGGAAACGGTTTTCTTGCTGTATATCACACAAAACATGAAACTCTCAAGATGTAATTCTGAAGAAAACAAACTTCCAAAGCTCCCACATGAAACATAACTACAGGTTTAGGGTTTAGGGTTTATATAGGGTATATAGGCTTATGTTTTTAAGGTTTAGGGTTTAGGGTTGCACAAAGACATGTCTTTTGCACGGCTTTCTCTAGCACAGTCGCCTATATAGTTCTGGAGATCCAAAATCCCTGTGTGCAAGCGAATGCAAAAACCGCACACACCATCAAAATCTGGGCAGGCTCCACTCCTAGGCTTTGCGAGCACTGACGACAGAGTGCTGTGCCTTGACAGCAGCGAATTGCTCTTCAAGTTGCTCGGCCTTTGTGCCAAACTCCAGCATCATTTCATCGTACTTCAGGGTCGTGATCTCTGAGCCATCCGGTAGCTCCTATTTGTGTGTGTGCTTTGTTCCTTATACAAAACATGCAGTCTCTTTCTCACATATCAGAAATACAAATGCTTATAGGCCTGCCATGTATGGATGTGATCAATCTTGACCTTCTCGCTCGTGGCCGCCTGGACGATGATCTTCCTTATAGTGTGTCGTCGTGGCTCGGGGCTGCTGTTCTGTTGGGGTTGGGGCGTAAATCGTTGCGAGGTTGTGGGATAACACAGAGACAAATACCGGGTTCGGACTTTAAATTTTCAACCTAAACCCGAAACCCTAAACCTTACACCCTAAACCCTAAACCCTAAACCCTCAACCCTCAACCCTAGACCCTAAACCCTAGACCCTAAACCCTAAACCCTCAACCCTAAACCCTAAACCCTAACCCCCCCCCCCAAACAATTAGATGGGGTGTGGGGTTTTACTCGTTTTCGCAAAACAAAGCAAAAAGCAGAGCAAAGCTGGTCTCGTGTAAGTGTAAATAAAACTAAAACAGCAAGGGCTCGCCTGATCGTAAAACTTGTCCTCCTTGGTCAATCCTGTCAGCAGCTTCTGTGCCGAGTTCTTGATCTGCTCGAAGGCTTTCTGCGCCATGTGCAGTTGCTGCTTGGCCATCTCCCAATCCTTCGACGAGAGAGACTGGGGCTGCTGGTCCATGATAGCCAAGGGCACCTTCTTCTCGCTGCTGCTGGAGGCTGTGGCCTTGGGGGAACGGCTGGCCTTCCGAAACAACCCGATGCTCCACTTGTCGGCAACAGCTGCCACCAAGCCCTGCTGCTCCTTGCTAATTTTGCCGGCTGTCTCGGTTACACTGGCAGCCTTCTTGGCTTTTGTCTCACTGTGCTCGGCCGTATCCCACCCGTACTTGCACGTGCCATTCTCGTCGGTCACTTCGTAAAACTCTCCCGCCTGGAGCCCGGCTTGGAAAGCATCCTCTGTGAGGTTGAACTTACCACAGAAGAGTGTTTTGGATAAGGTCTTTGTTGCTTTCTTGGACTGGATCTTCGTCCAGGTCTCTTGCATCTCCTTGAACATCGGCTTGTTCAGGTTCACGACCAGCTTCTGATCCTTTGTGCGATCGAGGCACATGTTCACGAGCTTTCGCTGCTGCTCCACACGCCCCACCTTCATGGAGAGCGTTTCGCGGTATTTTGCCGCGAGCCAGTCGGGCAACTGGTTGTTCTGGTACATCTGCTTAAATTTAAAATCTTTCGCTCGGTCTTTCTTCGTCTGGGTCTCGGGGTCCGTGTTGAACACATCGATCTCTTCGTCGACCTCTGCCGCCTCCTCTTCGCCGCCCTCTTCCTCGGCATCTTCCTTCTCGGCAAACAAGGGTGTGGCCCATGAGGAAATCACCTTGCTCTTCTTGTCAGAGGTACTCTTGCTCTTGTCAGAGGTACCCTTGTTCTTGCTCTTCTCAGAGGTACCCTTGCCCTTGTCGTCGTCGGCTGTTCGCTTCTGGCTTTGTGGAGCTGCAGAGGGCTTCTTGAGAACCAGGTTCTTTGCTTTGGCCTTGGCTATCTGTTTGGGCTGGACCTTGTCCTTCATCTTTGCCTCCGCATTCTTCTTGGGCTTCGCCGTGGTCTTCGCTGCTGGCTCTTTGGCGGCTGGTTTCTTCTGAGGCTGTGGGTCTTCCTCGGCATCGACATCGGTCTTCGCTGCTTTGGCGGCTGGTTTCTTCCGAGGCTGTGGTGGGACTTCCTCGACTTCGACATCCGTCGGCACAGGCATTGCCGGCTCCTCGTCCGACATGTGTTCTTCACGAACACACAAAAGCAATCACTTCAAATGGAGCACACAGTGCTGTGGTCATGAAGCAACTGCGTGCCAAAAGGAAAAGCTTGCGCTCTCACATGTAAAACTACCCATGCTCTACAAAAGCGCACAAACACCACAGAATCTTTTAGATAAAGTGTTCCGGGTTTCAGTATAACATCGTGAGTGCTCGAAGGAAAAGCTTGTGGTCTCACATGTAAAACTACCAGTCACATGTAAAACTTTCGAGCCTGGTTTAGGGCTCGGGGCCCAGAGAATTTGTCAGTGCACACCACTATGCCCGAACCTTTTTATAAAAAATAATCGTTTCTTTTTGATTTTATTTTTTTTTGTTATTTTTTTGTTGTTTTAATATGAATTTCTTATGAATTCTTTATGCGTTTTTTATGTTGTTTTTATGTCGTTTATAAAACTTCATAAAAAACACATAGAACCTATGCATTTTTTATGCGTTTCTTATGAAGTTTATAAAACAACATAAAAACAACACAAGAACCGCATAAAGAATTCATAAGAAATTCATATGATTTTTTTAAAAAAATGCAAATTTTTTTAAAAAAATAACGAAAAAAATCCAAAATGTGTATCACTAAACCCTGAAACCTAGGCCCTAGACTCCTAGACCACCGGAAACCCCTAAACCCGAAACACTAAATTTAAACCATGAAACACCCTAGACGGTATATATGGAACCCCCAACCCCCCAAACGAAAGTACATGTGTATATGTATGTATGTATATGTATATGTATATATATATATATATGTATATGTATATGTACATATGCATATATGCATATATGTATATATGTATATATGTATATATGTATATATGTATATATGTATATATGTATATATGTATATATGTATATATGATGTATATATATACATGTGTATATATGTATATATGTATATATATACATGTGTATATATGTATTTATTTATATATGTATATGTATATATGTATATATGTATATATATGTATATATGTATATATGTATATATGTATATATGTATATATGTATATATGTATATATGTATATATGTATATATGCATATATGCATATATGTACATATGTATATGTGATGGGGACCATCGCAAGTAAATCACATGTAATGGGGAGCATCACATGTAAATCACATGTAATGGGGAGCATCACATGTAAATCGGAACCATCGCATGTAACGGGGACCATCGCAGGTAATGCATGGGTTTAGGGGGTTTAGGGGATTCAGGGTTTAGGTTTATAGTGTTTAGGGTTTCGGGTTTAGGATTAAGGGTTTAGGGTTTAGGGTTTAGGGTTTTAGGGTTTAGGGTTTAGGGTTTAGGATTAAGGGTTTAGGGTTTAGGGTTTAGGGTGTTAGGGTTTTAGGGTAGGGCTTTTAGGGTTTAAGGTTCAAGGCTTGGGTTTGGGGCTTATATAGGGATGAACGGTTTCGCTCTTTTTGGCTGCTGGCGATCACCGTACCCGCTTGTACTTGCCGTGCTTCACACGGAAGGTGACCAGTCGCGAAGAGCTGGAGCTTCGTCGCCGCCTGCTTCGCCTGCTCCTGCTTCGCCTGCTCCGTCTGCTCCGCCTGCTGCCTCGCCTGCTTCGCGAGCTCGAAGAGGGCCTTCGCGATCTGTGTCTCCGGTGCTTCTCCTTTTTGGACTTCTCCGAGCTTTCCTGCTCTCCCTCCTCCTCCTCCTCCGACTGGCTGCCGTCTTCGTTGGCCTTGTCCTTCTCGGCCTCGTCGTCCTGCTGGGCCTCATCGTTGGGCTCCTCGTCGTCGTCCTGCACCTCTTCTAGCCCAGCAGCACGGAGTTTCTCGATCTCGCAGGTAAGATGCTTGGTGGCCTCGCCCTCGACCTCCTTGCTCTCGTCCTCGCCCTCCATGGGGATAATCTCGTAGGGATCCTGAGTTGTTTCTTGTGTTATATTAAACTGTTGTTTTTTTTGTTTATGTCGGGTTTAAAAAGAGAAGCCATCGCAGAAAACGGAAAAAGTTGACATATGTTTTTAGGGTTTAGGGTTTAGGGTTTAGGGTTTAGGGTTTTTAGGGTTTTTAGGGTTTAGGGTTTAGGGTTTAGGGTATATATATATATACTTGAGGTTCGGACACACAAAAGACAAAACTGTTGGTCCACCAGAACTCAAGAAAACATTCTCACTGTGAAGGAACCAAGGCACGAAGTGCACCACATCCTCCGCATCCTCATCCAGCTGTGGTGGCGGCGGCGGAAAAGCCGGCCAGGACGGCAACACCGGGGGTGGTGGCAGCGGCACGTTGATCCAAGGGGCAGCTGACGGCACTCCAGGCCCAGCTTCTGCCGACACCTTCGGCTTGGGGTCCTCCGCCCACGAAGCTGCAAGAACTTTGCCACTGCAGATCTCCGGCAGGAACACCTGGTCGAGCTGGGCGATGGCATAGCCGGCATCCTCCTGGTGCTCCTTTTGGTATTAAAGGGTCTAGGGTTTAGGGTTTATATAGGGTTTCGGGTTTAGGTTTTAAGGTTTATATAGGGTTTATAGGGTTTAGACACGGTTTAAGGTTTAGGGTTAAGACACTCGCAAGTAATTTACTCTTGGCTTTATGTCTTGTCTGCGACGGAAAGAAAGACCTTTATATACATGTATACATTTCTATATATATATATATACCTACATATACATGCACACATAGACCTAAGTTTTCCTTGTGAGGCTTCATACATATAATGGTTCCAAACGGTATGTATATGTATGTATATATATATATATAAAGGGTTTATACATAAGCTCAAGGGTTCCAGGCTTGTATAGGGTTTCCTATCACAAGAAAATAAAAAAAACACATGCTTTCTGCTTGACCAGCGGCGAAACTGAGGAACATGGAACAATGGTCCGAACGCTTTCGGCCCTCAACCCAGTACTTGTCACGGACCAGCTGGATGTCCAAGCAGTTGTTGACACCGAGCCGCTCCAGACATGATCGCACTGCCTTGGATGGGTTGGCATCAATGAGAAAAGAACAAACCAAAAAGCTTCAGGTAAAAGTGTTGATTGAGGTAAAGCGAATCAAGTTCAGCGGGATTGTGTGGTGCTTCAGTGTCTATATAGGGCTTAGGCTTAGGGTTTTGTTTCTTCTATATAAGTCTGTAACCGAGGCACCCACTTCTTCACGTCGTACCACACGTTTTTGCAGTAGACTCGCGAGGTTTTCTGTGCCATGGCTCCTCTTCTAGGCCTCTGTGTAATTTGCTACAGCTTATGTATACCTCTATATACTATCTGTCGTCTCCAGCTCCAGAGATGCTTTCTCTTTCTCATATAAATGCCGTCGTGTCTAAAACATGTATCCTCCTCATCTGCAGACCATCACACAAAAGACTCGAAAGTACACCAAAAGGAAACTCGACCACTCACAGCTTCAGCAAGCCTGACACATGAGTAAACTTCGCACACAAGCCTATGCACATGCACAAGTAAAAACTGATGTGCGAAAGCAGCTGAGGGATCACATATAGGGCTTCTAAGGTTGGGGTTTCAGAATGACATGCACACAAGTAAAAAGAAGATGTGCGAAAGCAGCTGAGGGATTATGTAGGGCTTATGGGGTGTATAGGAGAGGTTCTGGGGGTTTCGGGTTTCAGAGGTTGTGCACAAGTGCTAAAAACAGCTGAGGGATTATGTAGAGCTTATATATAAGGTACACAGAGGAGGCTCTAAAATGTTTCGGGCTTAAGAGGCTATGCTAGGGTTTAGGGTTTATATAGGGTATAGGGTATAGGGTTTAGGGTTTAGGGTTTAGGGTTTAGGGTTTAGGGTTTAGCGTTTAGGCTTTAGGTTTTAGGGTTTAGGGTTTATAGGGTTTAGTTTAGGGTTTTGTCTTCAAAAGTAATTCTGGGCGCAATGCGACATCTTCGCCTTCTCGGCACATCTTCCGTGTGTGTCTATATATCTACCCCACTGAGACCCATTGTGTGCACACACACATCGAGACTGAAATCGATACGTCGATCGAAAACAGCAGGATTGGCTTCGTGAACGGCGAAGCTATCTAAAGATCCATGCCAGATTCTCTCAGGCATTCAACTTCGAAACAATGTCGATCCTACACTGGTAAAGCTCCAGCAAGGATTTCCCTTCCTTTACATGTGGCACAAGCTGCTCACAAATGGTGTGGTGCTTGGGGTGGCAGCTGCTGATGATGCTTCTCTTCTTGCCCATTGCATCGTAGTTCCGGATGTAACTCTTCTGCTTGTAAAACTCGACTTTGCACTCGCCATACGTGGTAGCTTCGAACACATAATTCACGGGAAGCTTGGGGAAAGGCACATCGCTCGCTGCGACCTCGGGGCCTTCCTTCTTCAACTTCTTGGCCTTCGGCATCTTCGCATCTGTCATCTCAGCCTTGGGCTTCTTGGGCTCTTCTTTTTTTGGGACATTCTTCTTGGTCACTGCATCTTTCTTGTCGGTCTTCTTTTCGATCTTCGGCTGCTTCTTCTCGTTCTTCGCCTTCTTCTTCGCCAAGGCAACGTCGGGCACCAAATTCATGGCTGCTGCAAGGATGTCCAGCTCGTTCTTGGAGGTCTTCGAGGCTTCGGGCTTGGAGGCCTGGGTTTGGGTCTTGGAGTCTCCAGGCTTCGCGATGTCGGGCTGGGAGCTTTTGGCCTTCGGCTTGCAAGTCTTGGCTTTGGCCTTGGACTTGCAGGACTTGGAACTGCCGGCCTTGGCCTTGGGACTGCAGGCCTTGGGTTTCAAGACCTTTGCTTTGGCCTTGCCTTTTGCCACACACTCGTCCTCGGAAGTTTTTTTGTGATCCTGCCTGCCAGTGCCCTGGTTGATCTTGGCGAAAATCTGTGGCAACTGGGGAAGAGTCCATGGAACTCTCGCCGACGAGCTGGGTGTGGAGATGGGCTTGGCGATGGGCTGGGAGGTGGGCTGGGAGGTGGGCGGAGGAGCAGAGGTGACTGGGCTGACGAAGGCGGGCTGCGGCTCATACACCACCATGGTCGTGCATGGCCTGACTGGGCTTGCGTTTTCCTCTTCACCATCCGCTTCCCCTTCTTCCAACAAGGGCTTCGCATCACCAACAAGAAGCTCCATCGGCAGCTCCAGCTTGTCCAACGTGAGATTGATCTTCCTGCAAAAACAGGTTTGCTCTCTCTGTGTTTCTCTCTCATGTATAAGCAGTAAAACAACAACGAAGAAGACAACCAACCACATATGAAACGAGACTATGCTCTAAACAACAAGCTTCATCTTCTCGTCGTCTGTGCACATACGAAGAACTTTTAGCTTCAAGGAGAGGTTCTGCTTGAGCTGCCGGAGGTGCGAGAGGAGCAGCCGAATGCTGAGGTCTATCCGGTCCAAGACATCAGACTCTGTCATCTTGCGAGTACAGATGCTCATGGTCTTGTCCTCGACAAGAGACTTCAAGGCCCGAAGCAGCTTCACAGATTGAAGCTTCGAATTTGGAGCTACTTCTAGGAGGTCGTACAGCAGTCCAATGCACTTCGAAAGCCAACTTCCGTTCGGTGGCGTGTGCCACGTAAAGGTGAGGGGTCCGCCAGGTGGCGGACACACCAGCGACCACATGTCGCTGCTCTTGTGAAACTCTAGATAGTTACGGAGTGGCCGCTTCAAGGATTCGACACTGATGCACGGGTCGGCTATGAGCCGGAAGTTCTTCTTGTTCGAGGTGGCTTTTGCTTCCATCTGTTGAATGGCTGCCATGGCCTTCGCTAGGCCTGCCATCTTTGCGAAGCAAAAACAAGGAAACAGCTTTCTGTCAGTCTCCACACACCACACCTTGATCACAAAAGCTTCTTGTCCACAAGCATGGAGTACAAAACGCTCGCAGATGCTTTCACAAGTAAACATAACCTTCTGTGCAAATTGTCTCACAAGTAAAAAGCTCGGTTGTTTCAGAAAAGCTGGTCTGGGAGGGGCTGTCTCTCACAAGTAAAGCCACAAGTAAACACAACCTTTTCTGTGCAAACTGTCTCACAAGTAAAGCTCGGTTGTTTCAGAAAAGCTGGTCTATAGGAAAAGGGCTGCCTCACAAGTAAAAGCCACATGCTGCAGACTGTGTGTCACAAGCCAAAAAAAATGCTGCAGGCTGTCTCACAAGTATAAAAAAGCCACGTGCTGCAGACTGTCACAAGTAAAAAGTCGCTTGCGAACTGTCCCACAAAACCTTATCTCGGTCACGTTCTTTGGAATATCCTTCTTCGGTTGTGTCCCAAAAGCATAAACAAAATTCTGTCGAAAATACTTTTGGAACGCTAGACATATTCACCTGTACTCCAAAATTTTTATTTACTCTGAACCTAATGTATAATTAGTTTGAACCTAATTTATAATTACTTTGCACCTAATTGTGTTTTAGGTGTAAAGTAAATTTACTTACACGAAAAATTAAGTAAATAAATAAGTAAATATTTACCTAATTCCATGGTTTTTACCTAAATTCGACGACACCTAAATTCACGTATTCTGGAGACTCAGGGCATAACGACACTTCCCAGACTGAGCAAACTGAATGCACCTCACACCAGTTGCATCATGCGAGAACGCACACTTCTTTCCAGCGAAACAGGGTCTCCCCGCCACATAGTATTTGCACCAATACGAATGCAGCACCACATCATCTTCTGAATGGATGAATTTGCAGTCTTCACCAAATTTGCAGCGATCTTTTCCCTTACTGAACCAATAGCAGAAGCCTTTCTTCCTCTTCTCCAAGCGCTCCGCCTCGTACCGGTCCATAGGGCGATTCTGCTCTACATGAACATTGCCATGTGCCTGAGAACTGCTCTCTTCACCCAAGGTGCTATCAGTACTTGATGCTTGGAGTACAGCTGGAAAACCTGGCCTTGGTCCTACCACCTTCATGATTGGTTTTCCGCCAGCTCCTGAGCCACGCTGAGACAATCCAAAAACATTGAACTTCTTCATGAAGGCCTTCCTAGTGCCGATCTTCTGCACCCTTTTGATTGGATGCTTCATTGCTCCAACCTTGCATCCAGATACGTTCAAACGACACAACCTCCTATACCCAGCTCTATATCCCTTTTTCCAAAGAGCCATAAGAATTTTAGAGGCAGTAACATTCTCCACCTCTACCTTTTCCAACGATCCCTCACTTCCCGGAACAAACCCATCCAGCCCATCCATATCTGAAGACCTTTCCATCTTTTTTGACACCACTTCGTCGAGGTAGTCTTCAGAGATCCAGGGTAAGTTCCTCTTAGAGGAAGGATTGTCACCATTGTTTGGTCCTTCACCAGGATACCCCTTTGTGCTGTCAAAGATCTTACCAGTAGTGCGGTCCTGCGTAGAGAAATTGGAAGCCACGCGAGAGTACACTGACCACAAGAAAATCCTTGTGCCCGCCAGTCTTGACGACCCACTGGATGTCTCCTCTTCCGGAGAAACTTCTGGCGCTTTGCCATCCCTTCCAGTGTCACCAATTGTCTCACCTCCAGCACCTTCAATGGGAATAAGGGATTCATTGTTCCCTTGATCAAGTACCGCATCTTGTTGATCGGGGATCTCCAGCACCATTCCTGTAGGATCCACTTCCTCATCAGCATCGTCGTCCATTCTTCTCCAGAGAACCTCCAATTGATCAGCGCAAGTCGCCGCCTGAAGGAACTCCATCATTTGGTCCCTCCCGTGCTGCCAGAGAAATTCGGAATTCACCACTGTCCCTTGGCCTCCTAGTCTAAGGAATGGAGCGACCAGATTGGCTACCCTTGCCATAAGTTCCACATGAACTTCCATGCCTGGACTGCGACTCCAATCATAGGCTATTGCCTCCATAGCAGTTCCAAACTTTTCAGTATTTCTGAATTCCTTTTCCAGGCCAGGAGAAAGCAGTGCACCCATCACCGAAAGAGGATAATTTCCCACCACCGGCAAGCACGGATCTTCATGGAACGAATGATGCAAATCACCGTAGTGTCCTTGATCTCTCCTTTCAAAAAGGAGTCTCCCAGTATTCAACTGGGCATTCAGTTCATCCACTTGAACCATTTCAGCACATATTCTCTGTGCCGCAGTCGCTATTGCCGGCCAGATAGCACGATCTGCCAACCCACGACGCATAACCCAAATAGTTGTCGCCGACTGAATCAGTGTACCAGGGTCATATGCCATGACCACCAATGCACCATCATCCATTCTCTGATCAGCATCATCTTCCAATGCCAGGTTCAAATCCTGTTCGCTTGCACCTTCAGATGACATGCTAATAACCAAATTTCGATCCATTTTATTGGACCCCTTCTGATAGTCCTTGTGCCCCACAGGCAACTTGCCGACAGCAACCTTCCAATAAATCCGATTCAGAAGACCTTTAACCAGCAATTGCTGAGGAACATTCTTCACCGGACGAACATCCAATGTCTTCGCACCATCACCACGGAGTTCATTGCTCCCACCTTCTCCTTCGTTTTGGTCAGTCTCCTCGCCAGGAATTTGCACTGCTCCTTCCAGCGCCGTCTCCTGTCCAGCCACTTCTTGCCCAGGAAGAACTTGAGCGCCTTCAGATACATTCACCTGTCCAGCAACACCTTGCCCAGGTAAAACCTCATCCGTGGAGCCCACCGCCAGCGAACCAACTATAACTGAGCCATCCCTTGCTCTTTTTTGAGACTGTTCAGTTCGACGAGAAGGTTGTGGTAGCGAAAAAACTTGAGAAGTCACTTCTTGGCGGGTCTCCCCCCGCGACGCTTTGTCGCGTTCTTCGCCAAGGTGAACCGATTTTTTCTGCCCGTCATTGGGGCCGGAAGAACCACCCATCGGAACATTGCCACGAATCGCAGTTCTCTGTGAATCCCTTTCTTGCAAAAAGATTTCCCTCATGCGTTGCACAGCATTGGTCTCTTCCTCGCTTGAATCGCTTGAGGAAGCGGCATAAGAAACCAAAGCCTCCGCCTGATCATCATCATCCACCACATCTGCCCACGCTCTGCTGAACCGATACGACAACCCACCACGAGGCTTCAGTTCCAGTGGTTTTGGTTTCTCCACCACTTCCGCCGGTTGCGCTCGTCGCTGTGAACGAGAGCGTGGCACCTGTCGCACCTGTTTTTTATCCAGCAAGGGCCTGCCCCTTTTCACAGGGTTTGATCTTGACAGATACTTTTTTGTTGGTGGGTTCACCGGCGGCATTCCAACTCCCACCAACTGCAGCTTCTGTACGCACAGTGGAGACCTCTGCGCAAGCGTCCAAGCGTCACGGTACCTGACCTTATCAAAAAGCTCCCGATAGGAGCCTCTCGGCATCGTTTTTGCACCGGAGCCTTCAGCTTCACGCATCTGAGTGAGGGTTCGCGCCGCCTCTCTTCCAGCTTCCTTGCTCCCAGAAGATTGTTGCACTCGTACAGATGCATCGGAAGGAACTGCTTTTTCCGGTCCTCCCGGACGATATCGGACACCACCCACCAATTGCAAGATTTTACATGCTGTCACCTTGTTGATCCCTTTGTCAACCAAATCTTCCACAAAGATGAACTCTTGCAAGTCGGACACGTTGGTCACACCAAGTGTAATCATCACCTCACTTACATGAGGGGTATACACCCAAAGGTGTTCGTTGCGAGCCATCCAATTTTCAATTGGCTCCTCTGGATTTTGAAGCCGAGTACCAGTGGACTCAGCCACCGAATTCTTTCGTTCATCATCTTCTGCTTCATCCAGATTACCCTTTTCACCTTCTTTTTGTGACACATTGGTCATTTGCAGCGCTTTTGGTGCCGAGGAGGACGAAGATTCTGCTCCCCCACTTACCGGTGGTTGAAAGGCGTTCCTTTCGGGAATCTCCAATCCTCTTCCCCTTTGAAATGACACATGGTTCGCCACATTCACCAGATGCTTCAACTGGGCCAGCCGGTCTTCAGACATTTCTTCGTGAGAATACTTGCAGCCAAATCGCACACGACATCTCCCTTTGAGATAGTAGTCGAAACAGCAATGGTGGAACCCCGCGTCCCTTAGTGCCTTCCTGGAAGCATTGTCCCAAGATTTGCCAGGCTCCCAAGTCCCTTCCAATGCCATGTCATCGTCGTGAAGATACCTGCATGCAGTCCCATATTTACAACCACCTTGATTGTAATACAGACACAGCCGTTTCTTCGTTTCACCCAACGTAGGCTCACCTTTTGATGTCCCTTTGCCATAGTTGTACTGGGCACGGAAGGCCGAATCCTCCCGCTCCTGCTGCACCTCATCCACTGCACCTTCATCAGTTGGAGGGCCACCGATGTCCCCATCCTCGTCACCAGTTTTTTGGCTGTTCCTTGGCTCAGTTGGCTCTCCTTCAGGCCACCCTTCGCCGTGACGGCGATGTTCATAGGAACACCCATCTCCATTTCGACACCTCCCTTGATTGAAGAACCTGCACAGCTTGCTGTATCCAGGTGACACAGTCTTTGGAGTCATGTGAGCCTTTTTGTACTGATCAGGATCCATATAGGCTTCCATTGGCCTGTTTTCCCTCTTACTCATCTCCTCGATTGCACCATCAAGCTCCTGCAGAAATCGCTTGGTATCCAACCACAGCTCGTTCCAAAGCTCATCTTTCCCTTTGCTCAGCAACATTGCCACCGTTTCACCCACGACTGGTCCACTAAATCTCCTTTTCTTGCGTGCCAGTTCGTAGAGCGCGTTGCGGTACTGCTTCCGGGAAAAAGTGATTGTTTTTTCCAAACCTGCACGTTCTGTCCCCTCGGGCTTCCAACCATCACTTT